ATGCCCTGGACACCTTGCAGCTCAAGCTGATTCATCCAGATGATGTGGCGCCGGAAGACTTCAAGCCCCTGATTGACAATCTGACAAATGCGTTGCAGTGCTTCAACAAGTCATGCAAAACCATCAAGGCTTCAGTTGTAGCTAGGCAGCACTTCATGCAACATGTGCTAACGGTTTCAACACAATTTGAATGCCTCGTTTGTTGAAATCCAGCAGGCTGACCCGCCAAAGCCCAGAGCCAAGGGCAAGGCGCTTGTGAGGAAGTTGTCGTCTAAGTAGCTGCACCTGTCACAATGGCAGTGCAACACGTGGTGTAGCCTGAATCTTCAAGATTGGGCGCTTTTGACATTTAACCTGAGCCAGCCTGCTTTGCTGAAAGCACTAAACTGGCCTCGGGCAATTACTCTGTGGTGCCTTGTCCGGCAGCAACTCATGAGGGGTTCCCTGAAGTTCAAATGAATGTTTCAACATGATACCAAACGAAACATAATGCATTTAACCTCCATTAACTTGAGACGAGTTGCCTTGCTGGATCTGTGGGGGACAAGTTTCGATAGTGAACACGAGTTCGCTCGTGATTGGCGTTGGGCCAGTGGGCCAGGGGTGAAAATGCTGCCCGCTAGAATCTGCCGACAGCACCAGTTACATTCTTGCAATTAAGCTGGCCTGCTGACTGCTCCACGCAGGTGATCATGTGGCAAGCCCTCTGGTGCAGCACCTGGTGCAAAGCGTGGGGCGTGGAGTGGCTTGGCGGGAGTGGGGCAAACATTCCTGGTGAATCAATTTCTTGATCAGGAGTGGTTCCATCATAATGGGGATGCCGTTTTCATTTGAACCCTGCAGTACTAGTTTGCAAATTCGACAAGGAGATGAGCTTCAAACGGATGCGCTCTATCTTGCAGGCTGCGGCCAAGGACCCAACAACATGTTGAAACTGCATCCGGAACTGATGCCTGCCTCATGCAGGAGCTCGCGATCGATGGGCATGCCTTGAAAGGCCAAGCTGAGAAATTGCGCCGGGCTGGAACCGAAGGTAAACATGAGAACAATATCCAGCGGGACACCTTGCGAATGATGCATGTTCAGGCATCGTTGCTATTAATCATTGCCATTGAAAGCTGTTTCAGCAGGTTCCGGTTCGGGAATGCCCAGTACCTATGATGAAGAGCATCCGGGACAATACTATGGTGATCAAGCAACTTATCTGCATTGCATGCGAATCGTTGATCAAACAAGGAAACATCGGAACGCAGTCAACATGCTTTGATTTAGGCAAATGCCGCTTGTGCTACCCCATGAACTGGTGGAAGCGTACCTACGCATGGGCTTGTGGCCGACTGGCCGTGATGTCAAGGTTCAGGTGGCGCATTGTGTTTGAATCCAATGTCGATCAATTTGCATGTGTTTGCATCTGTCCAATCCTGCGTGATGCTAGGCCTACTGGAAGCACGTTGTGGAAAACACCAGCTGGGGCCCTCACCATGCTGCAGGTAGGCGAGCGTGTCATCGGCCTTTGGTGCTTTATGGAGACGATGCTGTGCTTTCGAAGAACTCGGGGGAGAAGATAACTGCTATCACGATTTCGGACATCTTGGCGTCTGATGATCAAAAAAGTAGCATGCGGTCAGCTTGGCCCCTCTGTGTGTTTCGCACTGTTTCTTGGATGGACATACCTGCAGCAATTTAATTATTTCGGTAATTGGCAGCATATACAAGAATCCCAGGCTTTATCGACCGGCTTTGAGACCTTGCAAGCCTTCCTGGGACCCGCTGCTTGGTGAGTAGAAAAGGCCTAGACGAGGGTGGCAACCAATCTAGCGTTCTAAACATATCAATCTTAAATTGTGTCAACTAAGATTGTGGTGTCCCTCAACCTGATGTTTGTGGGGCTGAAGCCGGTGAAAGAGCTGCACTTTTACATCTTGGAATCTGATGAGCCCCTTGATGGATCTTGGATGCCGCCTTTGACTGAAGAACCACTTCTGGAAGGGGGCTGCTTGGCGGTTGTGACAGAGTTCAGAGCTGATTGGAAGTTTCAGAAGGACTGGTTGAGTAGTACAATATTGAAATTCATTTGCAAACGGCGTGAAAAAATATTGAAATTCATTTGCAAACGGCGTGAAAACTTAACCTGCCATGTGGCCAGGAGGCACTTGACATGCAGTGTGGTTGGGCGAGCACCGCAATCTGTCATCATTGCCGTGCCCAGCGCTCTGACTACCTGAAGTTACCTGCTGCGGTGGGCACCGAGTCTCGGCGCGACCTGGATGACTTCTTGAATAATTGCTTGAAAGACCAGGCGAACCGCAGCCGCTTGTCTAGCTGTTTGGTGGGGCTTGGTTTTGCCACTTGATTGATCAAGTGATGAGGCATGGAATTTAGTCATATCAATCCTTATGGGCCCAGGTCACCTCACCAAGATTAAGGGCTTCCACCACCACTTTTTGCGGTGGTGCACGCTGCACGTTTTGAACCTGGGGATGGTGCTGTGGATTGGTGGGTCGAGTGTTGACATGTTGATTGAAGAGGACTGTGGGTTGCACGCATCATATTGTACGGTTTGAAAACCATCGATTACGTGTTTTTGTACTGACCTGTAAAGGACACCTGGGACGGTGGAAGCTTTGCTGCTAAGCTTCGAACTGCATATCGTGAATTCTGCGATTGGGCAAAGGCCCGAAAGATTCCGTGACTGGTCAACAAACTTTTTTCAATGGAAACAACCCCCTCATCGTTTGGCTGCTTGCGTCACTAAGGCACTCTCAACCGCCCTTCTGCCCGAAGTTTTTGCGGGGTGGACTCCCTGATGCGAAGGAGATGGCCGCGAAAGGGTACAATGCTATTGGTCTTCATTAGCATGTGTTTTTGTTCATTAGATCTGCAATGCACAATATTTGCAAGGCACGAGTATTGATCCAGTGGTTGGCCGATGTCAGCCTGAAGAAGCTCGCATCCAATCCAGGAGTTCTGACTTTCCAGCTTCTGGCCCAATGCCTGCCTTGTGGCTAAAAACTGCATGATATTTGCAGCCCTCACTTTATGCCCTTGATTGCCTGACACTCAGGTTTTTCACAGCAGAATACTTCCAAACCATGGAGCACTCGCCACGATATCTGAACCAATGCCAGGCAAATGCACTGGTGTTTTCATGTGAGACTTGGCCCCAAACACTTGCAGACCATTCACAGGCCCAAACGTTGAAAGTACTGATCTCAGGATGCAGCCTGCTTTGCCTACTGCCAGTTGGCTAAGCTGGCAATCCAGAATGGCAAGCCCGGCTGGCCACTTCGCCCCAAATTGCATGACCCTTGTCAGCACTATACTAGAAAGATATGGACGTCCAGCATGCGTGTGCTGAACTTGACCGGCCAAGGGTTGGCAAGAGGTAACCTATCTGGCCCGAACAGAAAGTGCCTTGGCAAAGGCTATCGGTCATGACAGTTGATTTTGCATATTTTCACCCAGGGATCAATCCTCGCCATCAACATACATTTAGAGATGAAGACCTGAATGGTCGCTTGCTATGTGGCAAAGCTGCACTGGCCATGGGTTGTTTGGAGGGTTTGCCGCGTTTCAACATTATTTGAGGCATAGCCCGAAGCTGCCACTTAGCCACCCTGGAGCTGTCCACCTTGACGCGTTTCTACATGTGGAGCCTAGCCTTATTTTTTGGAACAGGGGGTTGGCACTCTTTTTGGAATTTGCAAGCTAGCTAAGGACTCAACATATGGATGATAATTGATCGCATGGACTAAGCCCTGACAAGAAGGCGCGACTAGGCCCCCGTGCTTGATTTCAAGCGCTTGGGATGAGCGGGCCAAAAAGCTGCGGCGGCCCAGATGCTCCCAGGAAGGTCTTGGGAGCCATTTATGTTCTGAGAAAGGACTTGGGATCCGAGTGCACAAATAGGCACTACTTTGGATCCTTTGGGGTAGTAGTCACAGTAGTCGTAGTAGTCGTAGTAGTCGTATACGTAGTCGTAGTAGTCGTAGTAGTAATAGTAGGGTTCATATGCGGACCTATACAATCAGCTTTTCACGCATGTATTTGTGCTCTCAACTTCTCAACCACATCTATGTCATTTCCTCGTTTTGGGGCTGCCCGCTTCAGCATGCCAGCCAGAAACATCGCGAGGCCTGTACTGCAGTCTTCTGAAATAAAAGGCAGTCGCTCCTAGGGGCAGTTCTCAAAATGGCTGTGGGTCAAAACCAATGGTACCATTTTGGGGTAGGTGCACCACCCATTTTAGAACCTACTTTAGTGGGAAAAGGGGATGTTCACTGGGGATTAAACCTATTTTGACCCATTGGCAAATAGGGGGCTCCATTTTCAGGTGGTTTGAAGGGGCAACCAACCGGAAGCAGCGCCTTCTTCGCCTTCTTCAATGACGATTTGGTTGGTACTTTTTGAAGCCAGCCCCGCAGTGTGTGGTTGAAGGCATGGCAAAACTGGGCTGTGCTCAGAATCCCTGCAAACAGTTTAAGTTATGGGTCAAATGGAAGCCCAACCACAAAGCCAGCTAAACACCTACAAATGCAGAGCTCTTCAGTAAAGGTCCTGGTCAATGGAATCACATCCATCCAAGCCAGTGGAACCCATCTATTTCTAAGCAAACCAACCTAAGACGGACACCTATGTACATGCCACTGTCCACATGCGTCACTCCGTGCGTCACGCACCCAGCGCGTGACAACTTTCGGCTTGTATCAGGTGCCCCGTTTGGATTGGTTTGGGGATTGGTGGTTTGGCGATTTGAACCCTCGGATCTTAGCGAGGGCTAATGGGAAACCACCCCTGACCTCCAAACCAATGAAAACCATCAAGGGGTAGGGTGAACCCTTGATACCTATGGTTTAGCAACAAAATGACTCCTGTTTGCAGCCTACAAAAAATGAACAGAACCAAACAACCAACCACCAATTAGAGGGAAGCTGATTATAGGACTTATCCGCCCTATCCTTGCAGCCCAAGGGGATGAAGTGAGTCCTGTCTGCTAGCGCCTGGAACTCGCTGCTGCGTGGCAAAGTGTCTGATACACTCCTGCGCAAGAAACAGGCGATAGGCCAAGAACATGTCCCAGCCCGCCCCCTCCCCCCCCCCGCCCATTTGAAGGGGCAAAACGTTGTGACCTGCCGCCTGCTCGCAAAGAGTCGGATGTGCCTGACTGCCTGACACATGCTAGGCAAAGAAACTAGCCGCATGTGGGTGCTGTGTCCGACAGGCTACTAATTGGTCCCTGCGTCAACCATTTGCTGATCCACCTCCGAAAGATGCTCTACATAGGGCGAGGTTTTGACATACTAAGCTCGGCTGAAGTTTGCACTCCGCATAGAGACACTATCAGTGGCATGCAAGCAAAGCTATCATGAAGCCATCAACAGGGATCCTTACATTATACACCTGAACATTGCCTTGTAAATGGTGGTGTCCCTTTATTTTGGTGGATGAAAAAGCCATGTTTAAAATTGGCAACATGTATCTTTTAAGGAGCCCTGATCAATCTGAATGCAAGTGACCAGCCCAACTGAAAAACACTAGCCTGGAGGTGCCCAAGCCAGGAATTCACAAACAGGGATGCCCCCAAAAACAACCCGTGACGGTTCAGAGTGGTGCCAAGCAAGCAGCCTTGGTCTCTTGCTTGGCCATCCAGGTGTATCTTGAGAAAAATCGGGACCTAGAGGGTTGGATTCTTTTTGGTGTTCGTCTAAACCCGACAAGCTAGGTCCTCCAGTAGAGAGGTTAGAATAAGGGTACCAACTTTTTTCTGCAATCTATCTTAGTAGGGGAACCCGCCCAACAAAATGGGTGAGAAAGGGCACCTAGCTGAGAGACCTAGCGGACGTATCTCCAAGAAGAAGGCAAAGACGGCTTGGCCAGGCGGAGAATCAGCAGTCAGCCTTCAGCGCATGCAGGGACGCGTTGATCTCCGCGCCCTCCTGCTGCCGCCTAAGTTGCGGGTCAGTTCTCATGTTGCCGTCGAAGTCTTAGGCGGGTCTATGCATACGTGTGTGTATATATATATATATATATATATATATGTATATATGTAAAAATAATAATATGCAATATACATATGCACATATATACATATATGTAATATATAATATATATGCACGTGCTGGTCGGTCCCCGAAATAACAAGCACCTGGGTTGGCGAAAATGATTGCCTTCAAGTAATTCGACGCCACATCTTGCAGCAACAGTGACCCTGAATAGGGCATGCAACTCTGACTCTGCCCATCTCAAAGGAAGGACACTGGCTTTTGATTCTGTGGATGGACGAAATCCTGCACCACCTAAGAAACCCTGGAATGATTCAATTCACAAACAATCATTTCATCATGGTTTCCAAGAGCTGCGAATGGATTTCGTCCATCCACCGTATGAGTGGCGGTTGATATTGCCATGGGTCCAAATCCCGTACCCCCCGTGAACATCCCAATCCAACCACTAAAATAGGTTCTGAAATGGCTGGTGAATTCACAAATCCCCCAAAATGGGATCCCAAAACGGCTTTGACCACCACGGCCATATGGCGTTGGATATGAGTGACCATTGGTGTCCTTTTTGGGGAAATAGATGGCCCTGGTAGATGAGTAAACCACCTGGTAAACCAGGAATCGCCCTCTATTCTTTTGCCAAGACAACCAACAAGGACACCTATGTGAGTTCACCAATCCCCCAAAATGGGATCCCAAAACGGTTTTACAACCACAGCCGTGGTCATGTTTTCTCGGTTGCTTTCTGCTTCCCTGCTAAATGTTTTACTTTTAGTTGCTTTAATATGGAACCCCACTAGTTGGCAAAAAACTTGTTCAGTCCTAACATCCCTTGGCAAAATGCGCCCCAAAGGTTCGATATGAGTGCCGCTCATCATGTCATCTGCGGAGGTCACATGGCCTGGTACGATGAGTAAACCACCAGGTAAACCAGGAATCTGCCAAAACAACCAAAAATGACACCTATGTGAGTGACGCTTAATCCATCCCGACGAGCTCACGTCACGGTCCAAGGCACTCCTTGGAGTGGTACATGGAGTCCTTGCGCCGCTCCGTGCCCGCGCAGTCCACCAGCATCAGCTGGCCCTCGCACTGCAGCAGGCGCAAGATGCACACCGCGTGGCTCCTGACGACTCGTTGTGGACGTGGGACGTGTCGGTTTGAGGGTGCAGACCCGTCATGGCTGGCTGGTTGACTGGACTCCAAACGCAATAGGGGTCACATGGGGTACTGAATTTTCCATTCTTAACCCAGGGATCCGGATCTTTCTAGAACACCACCAAAAACCCGGGGGAAATGGCGATCGGTTTTTGAAAAGAACGATGGCTGAAAAGAATGGGGAATCAACCCCTAGAGTTTTGGGGTGCAGCGCGTCATGGCTGGCTGGTTGACCAATGCCAAACGCAATAGGGGTCACGGAACTCTTCAAAAGGTGAACGTGTCGTGTTGGGGGAGGGACTCTCATCATGGCTGGTTGACCGGAGTCACTGGATTCCTGCAAAAGTTGGCAGTTTACTGTGGGGTTCCAGCAAAATTGCCACTCTTGGAGGTCCGAACAAGGAAAAAAATGGAGGCAGTCCTGCACAAGGGTGGCTCAACTTGGAATGATTGGATCAACTTGGAAGCGGGTCCTTTGCCACTCTCAACTTCCGTGCTTCTCGGAAAAAAAAAAGAACAAAAAAAGACAAAAACGCTGTTTGCTTTGATGGAGTCTCTGCAAATCCCCAGAAGTGACGCGTAGATCGTTTTTTGGGGTCCCCCATTGCCCCCTGTGGGCCATGGACACATCCGCCTTCTTTAAGCAAGCTCATGTTCAAGCGAAGCAGCTCAACCATGGGTGTCCTTTTTGGTTGAAAATAGATGGGTTTCCCTGGTAGTTGATTGAACCCACCAGGTAAAAACCAGGGCCCGCCCAACCTATTTTTCAACCAAATCAACCAAAAAGGACACCTATGAGCTCAACCCATCGCATTCTCCAAAAGAAAACGGAACCACAGGCGAGTTGTTGCACTGAACCCCCAACAATTGGTCCTGCTCGTTTGCTCGTTTCACCAGCCACACCGAAAGAAACTCACTTGAGCCAATCGAACACCCTGAAATGAAAACAAGCATGCCGGCCCAGGGCATAGGTGACTTTTTGGAAACATAGATAGCCCCGGTATATAAATGGGCCTTAAAACGTATTTTAACCATTGGAACCCATCCAATTGCAGCCAAACTGCCCAGGGCTGTGGGGATTGCCCACTGTGACCCCTGATAGGTTCCCTTCAAAACGAGCAAGGGAAAGAAACATATCCATTTCAGCAAATGGTTCGGGTTTTATCCACTAAGCAACTGGAAGGCTGTAGGAACCCTTTCAGCAACCGGTTCGGGTTTTAGGTTCTAGCGCCAGTCTTCCCCCATCGCACCCCAGCTGCCATCCAGCCCCTCCAGCCCCTCCCCACCTGGAGCTCACCGCGTTGGCGTCCGTGGCGCTGGTGGCGCGCCGACTTTGGGCCATCTGCATGACCTCGTTCAAGGGCGCTGCGAGAAACCGGCTCCAAACCACCCATCCGGCTCCAAACCAAAGAGAGGGAAGCCGAGGAAAAAAGGAAAAGAACGAAGACGCGTGCGCTGCTTTCAACAGTTGATTGGCACCAGCCCTTGGCTTCCAGCCGTCCGGCTCAATTTTTTTGTTGTTATTGTTTTTTGGGGTGGTTGTTATGTTGTTTGTTTGCTTTGTGCGTGGTTTTTTGGTTGGTTTCTTGCCGGTGCGGAGAGATGGCAGGGAATGAGACTTGGCAGGACCCGAGGAGAAACCATCCAAGTGGTTCCTTTCAGGGGCCCAAGGCCTGGGTGCGTTCAAATCCACATCCCCTGAGCCCCAGCAAGCCGTGATTTTTTTTATTTTGTTTAATAAAAAAGAAAGAAAAAACGCGAGCGAAAGGAGGCCCTTTCGATAGATTGGTACCCGCTCAGGTGTTGGGCTTCGCCCATCAACAGCGATCGATCAATGGTTTCCATAGCGATTCGATCGATCCACTGTTGGAGGCTCCAAGGATGGAGAAGTGCCCGGGCTTGAGGCAATAGCTTAGCACCTCCCTGTCGTGTCAGGAACCCTGAGTGGTCTCCCAGTGGATGTTCGGTACAACATACTCTATCGTCTTCTGAACAAATCGCCCAAGCCTCTCTGAAATGGGCAGTTAGAGTTAGACAGAGCCTTTCCCGTCCGCATTTTGCCATCCAGTCATAGGGTCCCCCCTACACTTTTGGGCGCAGTTCAAATACACCCACTAAAACAACCCATTTTCAACATTCAAATCCAATCACCCAACCAATCCAACACCAAAAAACACATATTCACATACCCATCTTCATTTCTTACCCCATCTCAACATCACCCCTATGCTCATTCAATAACAACAATCAGAACTACATACCACCTCAACAAATCCCACCAAAAAAATCCAAGCTACATACCAACATTTTTTCATTCCCAAGATCGCAACCCCAAGATCTCAATAATTTCTCCCTTGGTCCAACTTGACACCCTTTCCCATTTCCAACAAATACGAACAGTCTAAAAAACAACCCTATGTTCGCCCCGAAAAGTGGTTAACCAATGGAAAAAGGAATATTCTAAGGGCTAACTCAAATCTTGAAAATAATCTGTGTAACATGGGATGGCAAAATGCGGCTTGAACAAGGCTTCAGTAGACACACCGCCCTAGAAACTGCCGAAACTACCATGAAACAGCAAAAAATGCCGTTGGAACTGCAACAGACGCTGTTGGAGCTGCAAAATCTGCCGTTGGAACTGCAAAATCCGCCGTTGGAATTGCAAACATATTGCAAATCCGGATTTTCCAACACCGCCTCTCCCCACCCCACCATTTTTCACCGCATTTCAGTCGCTTGAACGAGTCAAGATCATACCTTCCATGAACTCACATACTGCTCAACGTTGACCTTGCATTTCTCCGAAACACCCCATGTGCCGACAACCTTCTGCCTCGACGCATATCCTTCTGCAATGTCACCTTCAGGAGCGACTACAACCCACTTGATGCTCTTGACTCCATTCAGTTGGAAATAGTTGTTGAACTGCTTGTAAGAAGCATCAATCTTGCAGTCGTGACTTTTTGCCTTCGTGACCTGCAGTAGCCAAAGCGTGATGTTCTTGCCCTCATTGGTAACAAAGAAAAAATCAGCGGCTGGAAATGTCTCAGATTCAGGACAATACAAGCAATTCTCATCAAATTCTGGCAAAGGCTTTGGTGGTGGCTGGTCACCCAACTTCTTGAGCATCTTCTGAAGGGTCGGGATGCAAATTTTGACTGCAGCTGACTCTGTCTTGTCCTTATTCGTCTTCAATGCAGTGCAAACAAGCTCCACCTTCTTGGATTTGCAAACCTCGGCGACATGCATCTGAAATAGCCGACCGCACAGTGTGCCCAAAGGGGTGATATTCAAACTTGCCCTGATAAGGTTAGGAAGAGCTTTCCGTTGCTTCTCTGCCAGTTGGTCACACAAAATGTTGAGAACAACCTCGGACTCAATCAACTTCACATTGGGCGTCTGAAACTTGGCATCCGAATGGATGTGTAGCACCCGACTCATCTTGCTCCTGTTGTTCTGTGCATCCATGTCTGCACCGCCACTGTCAGCAGCCTGACACAAGTCTTCAAACGTGCACTTGACGACGCAGTCGCGAATCATCTGCTTTGCTTCCTCTTCCAGAGTGGTCTTATTCTCGGCTACTGCCACCAGCAATTTGTGCAAGTATCGCACCCTCCCTCCAATCATGGAATATGCCTTCTTCACGTCTGCTTCTTCCTTGCAAATCTGCAGTATGCCCCCAGCTTTCCAATGGTTCAGCACCTCCTCTTCTGACCAAACTGGCATGAAATAGCGCTTTGAACGACCTTCAGCCTGCTTCCAAACACTGTCGTAGTTCTTCTGCTGTGGCGAGGTGAAAATAATAGTGCAACCACGCATGCGAGGGTCAACAGGCTGGGAGTTCTCACCGCGAACTGGGTCTGCCAATAGAACAGTTTTGGATTGGTCAAGGAGCATGTCTCGCTTTTTTTCAGTGTGCATGGTGATGGTCTGCCCTGAAATGCGCGACCACCATCTTTTGCCCAGCTGGATGACGATGTTGATGCCCTCTTCAGCCAAACGACTTGCCACATAAGCCAGAAAAACGGATTTCCCAATGCCGGGAGTGCCTGTAATCACGAAAACGCCCATGTCCTCTTGGGAGAAATTGTGAAGCAACCATTTGTGGACAAGGCTACACATGTCCATGTAACACTTTCGCAGAACCAGCCTTTTATTCATGTCCCTCTTTCCCAGAATATTGTGTGCAAACTCCTGCACGGTGTCAGCTTCCCAGTTGCTGGGCTTCGGTGTCTTGGACACAGCCTCATCCAGCCAATGGCAAAGTTCATCTTGATATCCAGGGTCCTGAGCAGTGCAGTGAAGGCAAACCAACAAAACAAGGAACAAGCAACCACCCCAAACACAAACAAATGACCCACTCAAGCAAACATACCTATGAACCAGAGAGGAACTAAACAACCAAACCTAAAAAAGGGAATGAAACAAACATATTGATTATGTTTAAGCCAAGGGGCGGGTGCTGGTGGTCGGAAGACTTCCCGAATCTTATTCTCCAAACGCAGGGCTACTTTCTGTCGGGTCTTCGACTCAAGCTCTTGTGGAAGCAGACTAAGCAAGGATGAGACTGGCGCATTCTTCAGATCGTTTTCGTCAAAATCAAAAAGATGATTCGCTACATTCTCCTTCACATCCTCTTCAAAATCATGCAGTTGGTGCACAAGCCAGTCATGGGTCAGCTTCCGCTTCTTTGGCGGCGCTGCTTCTGCCATTGCGCGTGATTGAGAGAGACATAAACCTAAACAGACATGAAACTTTCAATGACTGTTGTGCATTACGTCCTGTCGCAAATCACCCAAGCACGCTACCTCAAGCTTGAACCAACCGTTGGTGGAATCACATTCAATCACACACGCAAAGGTCTACAACCAAATCGCATGAAACAAAATCACAAGATCAATCCCGCTCTGTCCAAAAATGAGCCACGGCATGTCGCAAGGGAGACCTTCTGATATACTTACACCTTCGGAATCTCTGACCTCAAAAAGGGGCAACTCATCCCTTCAACGGAGTACTAATTTTGTCCTAGTTGTTCCTCACCACCATTGGTGAGTTTAGTCACCACCATTGGTGACTTTGCTCACCACCACCAGTAAGTTTAGTCACCACCACTGGTAAGTTTAATCACCACCACTGGTGACTTTGATCACCACCGTTGGTGACTTTGGTCACCGCCATTGGTGAGTTTAGTCACCACCATTATGACACGTTGTCTCAGCAAATGTTGCTTATGATATATCGTCACAGCAACAGTGACATGTCGTCATAGAAACAGTGACACGTCATCATAGAAACCGTGTCCCAGAAACATTGACATATCGTCTCAAACCTTGTTGTTGGTGACTGGTTTGTGTTCAAACCTTCAGAATCTCTGACCTCAAGTAGGGGCGCTTCATCCCTTCAACAGAATAATAATCTTGACCAAGTTTCTTTTCAACCCTTGAAACCTTGTATTTGACACTGCTCCAGTTGCTCGTTCTCTCCTTCTCACCGATCCCCTTCTTGCGATATATTTTGACCTCATCACCAACCCTATCAGGGGGATATTTACGGGTTTTCGTTCTGTTCATCCCAAGCGTCATCTTGACCTCAAGATGGTTTCCCTTTTTGTGGGCGTCATGTGGAGTCATGCCATGTGCAGAATGGACAATTTTACTGTTGTATGTTAGTATGATCTCGGGGATATAATCAACCCATTGTATATTAACCTTTCCCTTTTTCTCATCTGCATCAACCCTTTTAAACAGCATGTCCTTGAACGTGCGAATGAAACGCTCGGCGAAATGGGGGTGCCCTCGTGTTAATAGTTTTGGATCCCTTCATCCTTGAAAAAATCAACAAGATCTTGGGTATTGAGACTCCCTCATCATCCGAATAAATTAATTTGGGTTTCCCTCCCATTTTGTTTAATGCCTCCATGATCCCAGCCGTGATGTCGGCAGGTTGCTTAGATGCAATAGGCACCACCGCGGCTTTACGAGAGAACACATCAATAAGCAATAAGCCTATCCTATATTTTTGATTATCTAAATCATTTTTTGATATAAGAAACAGATCCAGTTGATATTCATAGTTGATATCAGGGGCAATGAATGAATTGTATCCAGACAGTTGTTTTTCCTTTCCACGTTCTCTTGAAACCACTCCTTGACATCTTGCATTGTTATGGATGCATCTTTCTTTTTTGCATCTTTGTAAGTGGTGGCAATGCTACCAAACCCAGCCTAAATATCAATATGTTATTTTATCACTGAAGCATCTATTACAAGAAGCACAGAAGGCAATGGCATTATCCTTTGTATGGGGAAGATCATTGCACAACCTTTGACATGTCAAATTGGAATTGACATT